GCCATTCTCATTAGTGGACGCCGAGGGAACCCGCTCTTATTGGCTAGCCAATAAGCTTCAAGCAGCGTGACCAATCCTCTCCGGTCTGCTAGCTGAGGACTGGATTTGTGGGCTGCTAAAGACGGGCTCCGTTGGCAACCTGCTCTTTTTGGTGCAGTAGATAGGGTGCCGCGGATTATCATCCATGACGGCCAGAGCAACAAGAAATTGAAGTGAAATTCACTGTATTTCGTGGGCAGAATACTGTTAGGTTGCCCAGACCTAGACGAACATACGATTAGGCTTCCAAACCAATGCCTTGACTCAAAAAGTCTGACCGCAAGGTACCTGGAGTTTGGATATGGGTACAGCTTTACAGAGTAGAGTCACCCCACTTCAGACCCAACATGGAGGGCCAGGATACTAAGTTAGTTTGGCCTCTAACTATTGACTAATCTGGTATAAGTGATTAAGGAAGTGCAATAATCCCCGCCCAGCATAGTTCAATGGATAGCTGAAGTACGCAAAATATCGCATCACGTTTAAACGCAGTCTCGTCGCGATGGTATTACTGTGAGGAGAAACATTGTTCAGAAGTGGTGGTGTTGGTAAATAATCGTTAGAACCTCGCTGCTTGTAATTCGTCGGATGCACAGAAGCATTGGATTCATATGCACCAGGTTACCCTAGGCTACCGGTGGCTTGGTTTTCGATTCCATAAACCGACTGGCCTTTGTGCACGCAGTCAGAGTATTCACCAAGTTGCAGAGGATAGTTAAAAATGTGAGTTCCTGGACCATCGGTTGAACATTTAATCCAGAGTACAACCTGATAGCATGAATCAAATGAGGCAAGTACGGGGTGAAGATTTCTTTTCCGCAAAACTCATCAGGCTCAGACGTTTACCTAGTGCGGAGTACATGCTAAATGTGCAGAATTGTGCTAAATATAGGTTAGAAGATTCAAGTATGCTGTCGCTGAAAGTAGTCGAGTAAGTATATTCATTTTACTACCAATCAAGAGTTAGACGAGGCAAAAACCAAAAGGTTATGTATCGTCAGTTGTCGGCCACAGTAGACTTAAGGGGCGTATAGGTCGCAATTTGTGCCCTTATTCACGGCCTGAATTACGATCCCGATACCTCCACGTTCTGTCGCTCATCAAGACACTATCAGCTAACCGAACACATGACTCTCTTTTCCGGTTGGGGATGTCCCATTCACGTCAACTGGTGGGGCGGACGACGTTTTGACCGACTGATTCGGACCAGCAGTTTTTCTTTATCATCCGTTGGTGGGATTCAGAACAACGAATATAGGCGAGATTAAAGATAGCGCGAGCTTCAGTACAGTTGTAACGATGTGGTCGTAGGTCTTTGTTGCATGCGCAGCTCTCGGAAATTGTAGGCTCCTGCTGGCGCTGAAGATCGATCGGTTAAAGCAGCTATGTGTCATCGAAATAAACAGATATCAGGTTCACGGTATCCGAGAGCATTACCCAGCTTGGTTGGGTCGAGAGTAGACAAAACTTGCTCCAATGCGATTGTCGCACATCTAGCCGATATTATTCATCCGGTTGTTATCACAAAGGCCTTCTGCCTAATCAATCGCGTGAGGGGAGTCCGATCCAAACTGATTAAATATCGCATACATGCAATGACAGAGACGATCTCTATCCGCCTTCACCATCCCCTTTATGTATGCACAAACAATTTGTGAAGACACTGGCTCTTCCCTGGCTAGCTGTCGTACACCCAATCGTGTGAACCAGTTGAAACACAGCCGTCACGTCAACTTTCGACCCTATTCTTAAGACGTGGTTTACCCTGTTCGATGTTAGCTATTTAAATGTGTTGTACTTAACCTTATGATGAGTCATCGAAAGCGAGCTTGGTTGCTATATGGATTTTTCATGAATAAGAACTTGCAATTGATTACAGCAGACCGGTCTATTTCTCAATACTACAATCGGGATAGATGGAAAAGTTGAAAATAAACTTTCAAGAAGACTACCGATGGCACACGGATAACAGTAAGCACGGGAAAAGAGACGTCTAAACGCCGAGGTGCACCTGCCATAAAAATCTCCATACAACGCAATAAGTGGCAAACAAGTAGATGAAGTCTCCAGGATGCTCAAGTTGAACCAGACAATATGACGATTGTTAGGCGTAACCGGAGACTCACGCCTAATAATAAATTTGGCCTAATCCATAACTCATCCTCTGAACGGATCGTGAGGTACCCATGTCATTTCGGACATTCACTGTAGTTAGTGTCAACCAAAGTGGTGCACAAAGAGTCATCCCGTAGATGGCGTCCACGATACACTCTAAGATAAACCGTCCAGGGTAAATGCTAAATAGTGGAACTAAAGGTGAGGTTACAATGAACTCCGTAAGAAACGGATCAGCTCACCACATTAGTATATTTTTGTTCCAGGAAATGGCAATGTGAGTACCGAGTAGCTGATAAAGAATACGCAATGGACACTGTCCCCGTATTCGGTCGAAGTGACTGATTTCGTGGCAAGAATTTGTTCAAAGAGGGAATATTCTGCGAAATCAGTTCGGCCAAGCGCAGTTTGTTGGAACTATGCTGCTCATTCTTGTAACACAAGCACTTTAACATATTTATCTGCGGAATCAGTCGGGGAATCTCTAACAGACTGTTTGGACTTGACCAAATGTCAGCGGTTAGAACTGCATGCGAGAGGTAAAAAGCAACCGCCGTCCTAAAGAGCAGTGTAATCACACTTTTGACACACTACCGGGTACAAAGCGTGTTGAATGCATCAAGGCTCAACCCCACCTAAAGCCGATAACCGAGGCCCAGAGATTACCAATGTTGTATCGCCGACGTGGACTAGTAGATAAAGCGAAGACTCGAATAAGCGCTATTTTTGATGCATTTTAGGACTAAAGCATGTTGAAATATACGTGCAGTATGAAAGAGTTTACAGTTTATACAATGTTGAAAAATGATGGGCATCCATTTGAAATGTTACCGGAGGAAGACAGCAGAAAACACCATAGCAATACCAAGAACGGAAATAAATAAGTAGCGCTACGCAACGTCAAAAACGCATTTAAACTAGTAACGTTCACATAGAAACTCGGTATATCACAAACCAAGTGCAAATTTAAGAGGGTTGGCTTCAATAGTAAAAGATGAAGCGAAATGTGAAGATGTATTGGAACAAATGTGGCAAATCCTACGCTGAACAAACTGGAAAGGAACGGTTTAGAGGAAGCATTGAGTGTAAAGAGTCCATTAGAGTTCATGTTCTTCGGCTTCAATGAATGAGGATTAAGGTCCCACTGCTATTTGGAAAAAGTGACGATTTCAGTATGCACAGATTTGAAGAACGCAAGAGATTTTTTAGAAGCGTGGTACTCCACAAAACTCAACCAACCAACTTGTTGAACTAGATGTAATATACGCAACACTATTAGTCCGGGCCAACTCAATGAAACAACACCAGTGGAACAGGATACCAGATAAACGGATCGGATAACAGGATGAATCACACAAGCCGCAGAACACAGGATACCAATCAGAATGATCAATACCAAAAGTCCCCTGTCCGCTGACCAATCAGAACACGTAGATGTGACTCAACCAGTAGTTACTCGCCAATCAGAGAATCACAATAAGACGTAAAAACTCAAGCACATGACTATCGGATGCATCACTCCCTTAAACAATGGACTAAGGATGCCAAGACGAAGGGCAACGTAACAGCTGTATCACAATCGACAACCACCACAGCCTGAGCAGCAAAAATCTGCCCTTAAATAAAGTTTTTATACGATGTGATGGGAGAAACATGCTACATCTTGGAAAGAGAACAGTATTTGCAATCGGCACAAAAATTCCTCTGTAAGGACTGTTTCTAAAATAGTTATACATCATCGTCAGCGGCGACAATGGTTGGTCGAGCTTCGTGAGGAGGGATTCGCCGGAATGTCCGACGCTTTTATTGAATGTACTGCGCTACGGTCGAATGATCTGTACACCGTTTCAGTGGAATCCACATGAATGAAGAGTAAACCGTTTGCTCGATGGCACCCCTGATGCGTGGGGGCTGTCTATGAGTGGGTGTAGCTGCGCCAGTGCACATTGAAAGAAACCAAAGGCTCGGGTGCGGGAACAAAGACAAGCAATGTGGAAACAAGTAACACCTAACCGATAAAATATCCTGCGCAACACAAAGGCCTAACACACATTCGCATGATAAGATAGCTACAAGATGGCAGGTGGCTCTATACTTCGGTACCCGGAGAGGTCCAAATCCCGAGCTTCGTTACTCTCTTGTACCTAGTGAAATCGGATCTGTGTGTATCCAAAGGAAAGTTACCGACGCATATAGGCTACTAACATCCTACAAAATAAACGATGCCAAACATAAGTGCAATGCAAAGCAGTTGTAGGTCGTATTTCGTTATCCAGAGCATTGTGACCATAAAAAGAAAGACCGAGTGAAAGAGAAGACTAAAATCAGTCTTGAAAGGTTGTGTAGAGATCAAACAGGTACTGAATTTTAAAGTTCAGTTGTTTTTAAAGCTAGATAACTGCAACAGCGAAACTATGCCAAAGATAACTGCGCCGCACAAAACATAAATAAACAATGCTACTGTGTTGGAGAATTCATGCTGATGCATGCGTTGCGTATGTGTGCATGCGAATGGACTGTGACACGCAATCGCAATTAGGACGGCAACTGACTCGGAACTGAAGACCAAAGAAAATTCGGTCACTGAGACCGTACCTGAAGCAGATACACACTTTGGGTGTTGATGGTTAGCAGTCGACCAGCGCGTTCCGCGAACAGTTTCGCACTTGGTCGTACTCAGTAAGCAGAGGTAGCAAGGCTGTGACTCGAACTAGAGATCTTTGGGATGCCAGTCGAAACCTACTGCTACGGCGTAGAATCCCTATCGTGGGTTAAAACATAGACTATGCGCATGGCCTGGTCAGAAATCAACCGGGGAGATTTCGTGATATAATCCTGAAAAGACGGTTCTAATGGACAGGAAAATGTACAAGGTGCAACTCAAGGCTAAGCTCGCAACATGCGGGCAGTGGGCGGAAAAAGTTAATGGAACAGTAGAAGCATGGGCAGGATATTTCAGGTAAAAATGTTTGGCATTAAGACATAAAATTCATGCGAATAGAGTAAACGAATAGGGGTAATCGTCTGGATGTGCAACGTCCAATACAGGTAAAACGTGTTATTAGGCGGGAATGTGGAGCTGGATGGGAATAGGGGTGCTGAGTCTTCAGGTGTGAATAGCCCATCCGGCGCAAATAATAGAAGTTCGTCCGAGTGCGATGTGCTCTGTGATCTAGTGAGTTATGATACTAGTCTAAATGCAGCTAATATGATTCAGACGGCCCGGAGGTCAGAAAATTCGCCTAACGAAATATTGGCTGCGGTTGAAAACTGGGTCCCACATTGTCGACGAGACATCACTGGCGTCTTCGTCAATTGCACAAGTGGAAACCACCTGTAGAGTAAAGCTGACTCAGTACCAACCGGCTGAATAAATAGTGGGTAGCTGTAATTACTATAAATCACAAGGACAATATCACCATTATTTATATCGTCGTTGATAATATTATGCTTGTGGACAAAATGCAGTGTGATAATACAGAGCTCAGGGGAAAATAAGACACGATTCATAATCTCGCTAAGCAATCAAGTGCAGGGCAAATAGGACGCATAAGTGCGTCATTGAGGATCAGATCAGGAATGTAGGGGTGAAAGATAAGGTAAAGAAAAGTCAAAAAAGCCCAACTGAAGAAAGCAAACACAAAGATTAAGAGACAAAAATTCGGGGATGGCGCTTGTCGACTCTGCGCGATCACGATACTGCGGCACGAATCTGTTCCCGAGCCAATAGGATCAAAGGGATAAGGGAGTGCACAGGTTTGCTCTCCTGCGTAACCAGAGGATGCTGTGAGAATGGATAGGGCAGAAGAATAATAAACGTGTCACAACAGTTGTTCATACGCAGAACGAATAACAAGCAATTTATAGGTCAATGGTTCGCGCAGAGCTGACGCAGGCAAACAGTCTGTCGTGGTAGGAGGCAGCGAGTAATCGGCAAATCCAAAGTAAACATATTAAGGTGAGCTCGTGCTTAACAACGGCAATGCGTCATGGGATTTGCGGAAACAGAAACCTAGCAGTAGGTCCACCGTGGTTCTGGTTATGCTGAATGATAACTGCTTCAAAACCGTCAAACAGCATGGTTAATCAAATACCGGGTATGGTCCCATTCCTATGCCTACCCACTTGTTTAGACCCATGGGTTTGAGTGAAGACGTACTCAACAAGTGGAGAAGAGGGCAAGTCCAAAAATTCTTGCTTAAAGAGAAAAACACAGGCAGAAAGAGCGAGGAGCTAATGTATTCGGCCCTGACTGCATTGTCTAAGCTAACTGGGCAGTTGAGTGAGCAGGTTTACTGATGCTCACGTCAGTGAAGTAAAATGAGTAGTGACGGTGAATGAGTATAATGAATGGGACCTAGTTAACTTGACACAGAGAACCTGGGAGATAAATAGTGAGAGAAAGAAGAGTACAGCACACACTGAACCGAGTGTGTGTGTGTGCGTGTGTGCACACTCACATGGGTAACGTTTCGGGGGAGCAGTGATTGGATGCTCGTAGCAACCACTGACTGCTTTCATTTGCAAACCCTAACCCGCCATGAGCAGCACCGCGCACATTTGCGAGGGTTGCCAAATGAAGATGAACGCATGAATGTAGGGTCAACAGAACGTAGGGTGAGAGTTGGAAAAGTTAGTATTACGAATCTAGCCAATAGAATCGTGAATAAACCAAACCTAACTTTAAGTGGCGCGCACCTCAAGTCAACAGACCCACAATGATGTCCCACACCTTTTGTGAGCAGATGAGAAAGTGCGTACTAAGGGAGTAAAGAGCTAAAAGATGCAACAATAGCTGGAAGAGTTTCCAACAAAAACATAAAAATCTATCAATCTAGCGACCTATCCAAATAAGGCTCAAATTAACAACGATAGTCATGGTGGAAAAAATCAGCAGCATTGTAAGCAAAAATACAGAAAGCAGTAACTGCTCTATGCCTAAAGTGCATGAAATTAACAGGTCTGAGTTTAGAAAACGAAACCGTTAAAAGCTGCCTCCTCTCTGTATCCTCATAGCATCAAGCATAGCATGCATTATTCATCTTATCGTGAAGGTTGTTGGCCGCATACTGTTGGGCGACGTCGACGGACCAGAAAAATACCACATATAACCTAGGAGACGCTAGTGAAGATACTCTACGACTTACTAGGAGTAAACTAGAAGCGGTAGCTCGCTTGGACACATCCACCTCAAGACATTGATCCAAGAAGTCCAGTAAATTTATCCCGATGGAATCTTTACAGAAAGCCGGCTTGCCGTTAGTGGCTATTAGATAGAGTGCCTGTTGAACAATGAGATACAACGAGGAAATAGGATAGCATGCATATACCAAATTGAATCACAATAAAACAAAGACATAACACATTGCATTTACAACTGTGTCTGTAACTGTAGAAGTAGTTACATTGGCAGAACAGAGCGGTGTCGGGAAATATTTGGGTGCTGCTCCTCCCAACATTGGCACACCACAACCGCAGTTTCGTCCTGGTTTTGACTCATCAGGAGGAGATAGTCTGAGCTGGGGTGGAAATCAGAGCCTAGTAGTTCACGGCTGACGCTCTGAACACTATGCTACTGAGATCCGCGAGCAACGCTTGGCACAGCGGAAAGCAATTCAAAGTTGAATTTAGCGAACATGCTGTGTGGTTGGGTTGCGAGCCACAACCACTATTGAGACCTCAGTTCGTCTTGAGGTAAACCTCGGTCATTCCCATGGCGAGGACCGTATCTGGAATGGAAATATTTTGGTGTTGCTCCTCCCAACGCTGACAAAAAACGACCGCGGTTTCGTCCTGGTTTGGACTCATCAGGTGTCTGCGTAAGCGGATCGGACTCAGAAATGGGTTGCTACAGTTGTAGCAAAACAACCACAGGGAGAAGAGTTAAGGTGTAAATTGCCGGCCTCATCGATAGCCAGACATCTACTTGCAACGGGGCATCAAATTGACTCTAACTTGGCGTTTACGGTTATCTACCGTAATGAAAAAGCCAAGGTACTGAAGCTCGCGGAGGCTGTGGCAATTAATCAGAGTCATCCGGACCTATGTGTACAGCTGACTCTCACCCTCAAGCTTCCTTGGGGATTAGTGACACCTGTCTCAAACGTTGTGCTTCTGTGGGAGTTTATACCCTTTTGTTTCTTCCATTCCCTTTCCGACAACATTCAAATCATGGATTTTCCCATTCCGTGATCGTTAAATGTCGCTCGTTTGCATGTGATCAGAAAGCTCGAAATGATATCATCGTGCAACATCCGTCTTCTCATTGTGTTATTTAGACTGATAGATGGAATCCAGTGCTTAAAAAGACAAAGGTGCTTCTATGACAATGCGTTTTACAGTGTGAGAGTCGGGGATTCAATGAAATCGTTTTTGATGAACAGTTCCAGTAAAGAACGATAGTGGCAAACAGGCGATCACGGAGAATGACTTGTGGAGTCCCGAGTTTGACCAATGAATTGTCTCCACTCACATACTAAATGAATGCGTAATAGCAAGGGCTAACTGATTAGTTCAGTGTGTCCATGCCCAATGAAATAACCAGAGGCTTGGAAACATTTGCATGGCAATCAAGCAGTGCTGGGAGTAAAATAATGACAGGGGTATCTAGCCGGAAGTCGTAGCGACTTCTGTAATCCAAAGAAACTATTAACAAAAGAGCTATCCGATAAGTGCTGGTTGCGTAGCGTAAGCGCCGCAGTTCCAACAAACGCTGCCAAGTCGGGAGACATTCGTCACTATGACAGACTGCTACATGGAGAAAATGTTGATGGGGTAAAAGTTCTACGAAACCGTGTTGGCGTTAATAGCTTCTGGCCCAGTTTGGAGAAAGTACGTTCGAGTAAAGGATAAGATGTATTGCATGAATCCCAAAATTAGAGGAAATGACTTCAGAGACATCGGTTTGGATGAATTGGTTGGGAAAACGAAGCACATGCCATTACAACAGTGGTATCAAGAGACTGCTTGAGAGAGATCAATCATCTGGCTGAGGGTAAGCTAAATGCCCACGAATTGGATTACCCTCTAATGCTGCCAGCGGTTAGAACTGTGTTACATCGTTCGCGAAGAAACTAGATGACACAGGGATGGGTATTACATGGCTGATCCTCAAAAATTGGCAGGCGCAGCGTGAAATTTAGGCATACATTGCAGACATGTGACTCGAGTAGTTCAACTGCTGCTTCTGAAATGACTATACTGCCTGGAGGAACAGTCACATTGAGCATATGTGTCAATTTGATACGAGGAAAAATGGCACCAGGTTTAAGGGAGACAATCGCCACGAAGATTACACACGTATGGATAGAAAGAACTTCCATGTTAGTCACGTGCAGTTTAGTGACTACTTAATATGCACCGTGTCTCACACAAAGCAATCAATCTAGTAAGAATTGGTACGAACGTACGGACTTTGTGCTTGCTCTGTTTGGATTTAGGGCACCAAATTTCATACTGCCCTGGGTTGCATACACTTATTTAAGCAAGCACGGAGGGATCTTCTCACAATCATTGCGATATGCTTACTGCGGATACCGCATACTGTTAGTTCATCATCAGTGTTCAGTGCCAGCACTCGACTTTCTCAGGCTTGGGAAGGCATTTTTGCTTAGGTTGGGAGCTATCAAAAGAGTCCTAATTCCTCCAAAGTGACAACTGCAGACGGTCAATACTGGTAAATTTAACACCACACTATCGCCGTTTGTTACACCTGCAAGCCAAAGAGGAACCAGTCGCGACGCTCATGCGCTGTGCCGTCGTCAGGATTTAAGCGACTTTGGACTGTATGCGTGGAGAGATAGAACACGGCATGTCTCGTCCGCGCATCCCGGTTCCTTGTTTCGGCATACAAAGATCAAACTCGTAGTTTATCGTTTGGTTAACTTATACAGTTCGTAAAAGTCCAAGGCGCTGGTTATGTCTCCGGTAGACGATTTATCAGTTTTCCATTATTTTGTCCACACCTCGCAACCATTCTATTAGCTTCAAAGCATGTTATCCGTAGTGTAAGAATACGACGATAATGCTTCGATTTGTGCTACTCAACCTATTAGCATGGCTAGCAGAGCTTTAGTCTCTACAAGGCGACTGGCTATGAGAGGGAAATTACGTTAGTTCCACATTTGGAACTACAACAAAAATGAAAAATTGAAATGCACGTGAAATAACAAGTACCCGGAGTGTAGAGCAAAATGCTACACATTGAGGCAGATTAAAAGACCTTGCATATCGAAGAAGTATGGTGAAAATCACTCCAAAGCAACTGGTACCACTAACTTATGCTCTAAAACCATCGAAATCCAATGCGCTGAGTATCAAAAAACATGTCACCTTAACAACCAAAGGGATTACAAGTTTCAGAAAGATTTTGATCCTCGGGTACATTCATAGGCTGCTTCGCTAACTGACAGCGAATTTATAACCATAAGTTTTCGTAAAAAGATGCTAAAACACAACCGTGTGATATTGATGGTGTTCATCACGGGAGGTGGTGCACGATCAATGGTTGATAATCGTCTATTGATAACAAAGACAACTGTGGTTAAAAGCACTGAAATTATAGTGCATAGGAAACTACCAGGAAGAGAAACGTAGGTTCAAAGCGATGCCTCAAAAATGGAAAACAAACCTGGTTAAGGGTATATTTAATGAGCTTGGTCTTGATACTTCGAAGTATCCACTAAAGACCGTACAGAATAGGTTGTCAGGATTGCCACACTAGATGCGGAGATAATAACAAATAAAACTACTCATAAAGTTTTCTGCAGGATTTTCCATTTATAAAAGTTGTTTCCGCTGATAATACGCATAACCAATCTGGTCACGATACAGCCACTTCCCAAATCAGAAGACAAAAGCCTCTGGGGGAACTTGTATGGAGCACACGGAAGACCGACTGTACAGCCAACATATGGGGTCGAAATAAATAGTTCATGAGAGAAAATACCTAATTGAAAGTTCCTGACTATAGCAACTACTAGACACACAAAAACTCGCGTGTTGGCTGTTCAAGTAGTGCGCTTACTGGAAGGCTTCAAGGCAGGTCATTCTGATTGGTCCACTTCAAGGTAAAACGATGCCATTGGCTTACTCTCATTGGCTAGCCAATCAGCTACAGGTGGCGTACGACCAATCTTCTCCGGGCTGCTTCAGACAGAGAGCTGGCTTCGAAGACTGCTACGGACGGCCTCCTGTAACAACAAATTTCAGGATATCAAGAAGAAATGACATTTTAACCGGGTGCGCTGAAATCGGGTATTTCGGATATTCTCGTCAGCTGTTTACATACACTCCGTGAAAATATCTAGTTGTGTACAAGAGAAAGTGATGGGTAAGTTTAAAGAAATACGATCAATAATCTCACCGAGGTGAGGCGAGACTGGCCGTGCATTCAATCAGTCTGCACTAATGGGCTTTAGCCGCCGAATAGCTGAGGTTTCAGCACACTGAAATATTTTGGCAGTGCTCTGTCGGATAAGTACTTTGATCGATTCTCGGGGACTTTGGTACGTAGTGCAGTCCAGATGGTGCGCAATAGAGCTAGTCGGCAGTTTCGGACCGTTAGCAACCTTGTTTCGTGGAATGTGCTCTGAAAGCGTGGTGGACAACGTATTTGTTACCACAAGTACAGTGGAATAGATAAACACAAGAGGCGGTCACGTGAGGGTGTAGCTTGTCCAGGTTGAATTTACAAAAAAACCTACTACGTGGGTGCACTAAACCAGTTCGGCCGCAAAACAACACTGCCTCGCTGTGTGGCGGAGGTGGTGCCGGAAACGTAATGAACGCCTTTTTTGCGGGAAAATTTCAAACCTCTCATAGTTTGCTGCGTGGCCATACCGAACAATAAATCTCGCTGGTATTGATGACGCGTTCCAGTTGAATGCCGATCATATCGCCAGAACAAATTTTGCGAGCTCTTGCGAAGGCGGAGATGGACAATGCTCATAGGTAGTTTTATAGGAGAGAAAGTGTTGAAGTTGAGATAGTGTCCCGTTTACAGTTGATCTGCGATACACGAACCAAGTGAGTCTGCCTTCTGGATTTCTCTTCTAGTGTGTATCTAGGAAGTGGAAGGTGTTAGCCATTTCGCTTTCCGTTTACCGCAGATTGACATTTATTTAGAACATCAAGTAGGCGCTCCGTCTGCTGAGGGTTATCAGCCACAACGGAAGTAAAAATGCACATTTCGTGTGTCAGGACGTAGTTCTGTGTGTTCCAGCCAGGATTGGTCCAAATGTATTAGCCATGACCACGCTATCCAACTGAGGGTATATTGTTC